TTTCCCTGGTCATTATAACGACACAGTGGGTGGCATTTGTTTGCCTTGTTTCCAAATTTGTGGTGGTAAAAACAAATAGCCGGGTTATGAATACCTGGCTTTCATAATGTTTCTTCAGTGGGCTACGACATGTATTTCGATCACGTGATGTGGAGCGGTTGCGCTGAAAAGGTTCAGCTTGGATGGCTAGTAACTGAGCAACCTGTTTGGACAAATCATCAATTTGAGCCTCTAATGCCGCAATAGCAGGAGCCTGCACTGCGTGTATTTACGCTGTAATGGCCAGCTCGTGAATTTTATCAGCGATTTCAGGAAGATTTTTAACTGGTCGCTAAAATGGTTTGCATGTTAGATGGGCGTCTATTCATCCATATTGTTTTAAGAATGTTATCCGTAAGGTTACTGGCGGCTAAGTCTGACATTTTAGACAGAACTTGAGAAGGCCTCATATCACCCAACCATGAATCGTGCAACAACTGCTTGATTGTGTCTTGAATTCTTCATAAACAGAAATTAATATTGTTTAAAGATTGTATTTGTCCGTGGCCCGGTGAATTCAAAATTATTTCACGAGCTGCAGTACCTCTGATTCTAACGTGGTGATCGCTGTATAAAATTGAGTTTCGTCGGTAGTAATGTGGCTATAGTGACACAGTTTCTTGCTACTTGAAATCAGAGAAATTGGCGGCTCAAATGCAGTAGACAATACATATATCCACTGAAAATATGACAGAAATATGTTGACTCAACGGAATGTGGCACAACGCTTGAAATGACAGGTGAAATATCTTACTTGCATCTCATCACACTGGATAACTTACTACTGCTCAGAATTTTGACATATAAACTCTATATTCGTGCAACATTGAAGGTTGCTTTTCGTAATGTGTCACCAATTATGGTAGTACGATTTTTTGAGACAGATCATTAAATAATTATAACAATTGAATAGAATAAATAATTGTTTAAAAACTACTTTTAAAAAACACTTATATAAATATGTAAAATAAATAACACCTTTTTAACTAATTCTAGATCATCGTATGTCTGATTTTTCCGCCGACACAGATGCATTTCCGAATCCAAGGCTAATGTAGTTAGGTAGTGATAATTCTTAATATATTTTTGAGTATTTTATGGCAGATTCAGTATTTTATTATTATTTGCATTATTTTCTTATTACGAATATATTCTATGCATTATATTACAGAAAGTTTTTATTGTGGGGGTGCCAAAAAGGTATTTTGCCCCGGGCGCCAGTTATGCTTGCTACACCGTTGCTCTAAATGGCATATTTTCTACAAGGCATAAAAAATTACTGCAGTAAAATTGAAAGATTTAATGTCTTCATAACATTCAATTAAACAGGTGTTAAAAAAGGCATCGATTTTGTTCACTTTTTTTAATCAAATTCAACCTTTTAATTTCAGTTTAGACCCTTTGAAGCATCTTTTAACATGATGTTTTGAGATTCTGCCATGACAAAATTAAGCTGTGGGTACACAGAAAATGTTGCTATCTTGTGATTGTGTTGTGTTATAGCAAAGAAAAAGAATTAGTAATTTCTGTATTACCATTTGTACCAGAGAAGGCATTTTTAATTGTATAAATTAATGTTTTACAAATAAAGGTAAGAATGGGGAAAATTGCTTATTTTCTTCAGCCAGTGTTAGTAATATCATGTTACTTCATATATTTTCCTGATAGCATTAGTTCCAGATTCTGAAGATTTTAAAAATATTCATGTAATTTTCTTCTTCCTCAGTGTGTTCAGAGAATGAGCTCTCCTAAATTTTAAAATGGATTCATCCACATAGTGATTGTTTTCATCGTACAAAGTCAAACCCTCACAAACTACTAGTAAAGATCATCCCAATTTCATTTTCCCTTCTAATTGTTGAAGTTTATGGCAGGCTTATAAAGGAACCGACCAGTCACAGTACAGAAAACAGACTGGCGTTCAGTATACTATTTCCTAAGTCAGTTGTATAATAGACTGGGTTCAAGTTATGCAGGGGAATAGAAATGAAGATATCTATTAGATATTGTAATGCTAATATTTCTACGTATTCTTATTCTAATGTAGGTTAAGTCTTTCTAATATACTCTCCCTCCCCACCCTTTTTTTACTAATTTTGTCATCCGAAAATCAAGCGGAGACAATTAATTTCCGAAGGACGTGGCCATAGTGAGAACGTAACAAATGAAAAATACTCTGGGATAAACTATACATAACTCAGAATATTAAAGACATAGAATCATTTATCAAAATACATCAACTAACTGTTCATTCAACATTGTCCATGTCACTTCTTCGATATGCAAAAAGAACTACTGAAAAATTAATTAGAGGGAGAGAAATAAAAACATTAACAGGCTTGTATTTTTTTACTTGAAGAAAATTTCCAAAAAAATAAACTTGATCAGTTTGGGACAGAATGCAAAATTTCATAAATTTTTAAAATATGACAATATAAGATGCCTTTTTTTTCCCCTTTTAACGAGAATATTGGACATTGGGATGCTTTTATTAATGTTTGCCACCTATTGCCAAATTATATTTATTATTTCCGATTATACTCTTTGTTTATAACTGCATTCATTACTTTGCAACAAGCTCTTTGTAGATATAAATTGAGAAAAACTCAGAACTTATAATGAATTTTTCTTTTAGATTAGGAATTTCTGAAAAGGTAGAAGCCAATCTGACAACTGTTCCATTTCAAAAGTGTAATAAGCCAAAAGAAAATATATGGTTTTTGCAGGAAATTTTAAAAACGTATTTTTTTTTTAACTGTGTGCTTGTTATATGATAGTTAAATTTTCTGCAAATGATCCATTTTTAAAACATGGAAGTTGCTGACAGTAACTTAAGTAAATTTTCATTTTTATCCTTTTATTTCAGGCTGGATACTTTTCTATCCATTACTGACGAAAAATATTTTGATCAAATAAGTAATTTAAAAGAAATCCCAGATTTGCGTATTTATACAGCATAGAGAGAAGTTGCAAAATTAAAAGATTACATATTATGATACAGCTTTAATAATAATACCTCATTCAAATGTAGCAAGTGAAAGAACTTTTAATGTCATCAAAAATAGTTGAACTGCATTTTAGTCAAAGTTAAGTATGAAAAAGCTTGCAGCATTTGTAGTAAAATGTAGGCAAATGAAAGTGTAAAAATGTAGGCAAATGAAGAACTGTTACAGAAAAAGATTCTTCGATTTTTGATCGTGATTCTATGCATATTTCTTGTCTCCATGTAAAATTTAAATTTTTTATTTTTGTATAGAACCTGGAATCTCAAAAACCTCATAAACTTGGTTTATGGATTTTGTTTTTCCCTTCATATGATTATTTGTGACTTAAAATGGTCACACCAGAAACAAATTTAGTGATATTTGTGCTTGAATAATCAAACGAAAATATCTGTTTAAATACGCATGTAATTTACAAGAAGTAATTTAATTTTTTTAATCTGTAAAGATGATAAAAATATCAATCATTTATGCATTAATTTCTCATAAGTTGAAGTCTGAGTATATATTCAGTTAAGTTTTCAGCAGTAAAAGCTGCTTAACATTGTCACTGTCACTGACAGATGGAGGTTAGGTGAACTTAAGGAATGTTAGTATTATGCTTAAAGACACAATATAATAAATAAAAAAAGTGTTTTCACTGTCAAAAAGTCCTTAAAATCCTCTGCCTGCAATGCAAGCTACCTGTAATTTCTTACAGGTCAAATTCATGATCTTGTAAATCATTACTGCCAGTCTTTGTTAATGAGAATTAAGGTGTAGATAATTTTAAAAATGATGTTTTTAAAAGTCCCTGAGTGTTAATTCTGCAATGAATCTCAAAACCCCTTTGAAAATCAATTGTTTCCAACTCAAGACACCTTTCATACAAATAGTATCAGAAATGTGAACATTTCATTAACTTCAATATTATAAAGTTTGTTATTCATTAGCATGAAAAATTTTATTTAGCTGTATTTCTTAACATTTGGCAAAAAGTGCCATTTTTTACCATAAATGGGATAAGTATAATTCATTACTAAATGTTTTACAATATTATTGATTGCAAAATTTTGAACTGTACACTGTCTGCATTCAGAATAATTTTTACCTTTTAATTAATAAAAGGGGTCAACTCTTCAAAGTAATACACTGCTAAACTTTGAGGTTAAAAAAAAAAAAAAAAAAAAAAAAAATTCTTTTTTAGAGGTAAGGCTGCATAAACCAACAAAACATACAACAATGTGTAGTTTATTTGCTCAGTTTGTTTACAAAGGAAGTAGTTTCTAGGTTACAAAACAAATGTGAGCCATTATATGCATTTTGTCTGTTGAGTGCCATGTGATCACAGCTGAACAATGGTGGTGCTATCTTTCTTGCTGTAAGACTGGGAAAGCAAAGAAACAAAGCATTATATTCTAAGAGTTTTGGAAACATCACTTTTTTATCATGATGAAGTCTGTGGTAGGGTTGCCTAAAATGCCTTTAAATATGCTTTGAAAAAAAAACTATAATCTGATTGCATTCTTGGACAAGTCTTGGGTTTGCTCATGAACAAGGACCGTACTAGTCATTAAAATTATACCTTTGGGGAGGTTTATGGAACTGGAGGTGAATCAGGGCAGCAATATTTAAAAGCTTGGTGAGGAACATTATCAAGAGCTGAGCTCCAATGAACTAATTGATCTACACCACGAATCACGTCCTGAAATCCTTAAAAGGACACAAAAACAACTCTCATCAGATTCCTTGTTAAATGTGCACAAAATAAAAAATATTCTTGTAAGCCAACAGTTAGCAGTTATTGTGTTAGCTAACCATGATTCTTTTCCGAGGTTTACATTGTAAGTTAATTTATTTTGTGTGCTTATTACTTTATATTTTCTAATAAGGTTCATATGAATATATCTTGGAGTTTTGGAATTAATCATTTGCCATTATTTTTTATATGCAGCCTTTTTAGAAATTAAACAAAACCCATTTTGTGATTTAATGAAAGTATTAAGTTTTATTTACAGGTATTTATACATAGATGTCTATATTCAGATTATTAAATATCAGTTATTGTTGGTTTCATTTGCATCAGGTGCTTCAGTTTCAACTTTGTACATAAGTTGTTTTGCTGTCAGCCAACTGTATGAATTGTCAAAATGTAGAATATCTGAAAAGATAAAAAGAAATGTGATTCTTACTTCAGCATGCTCACAATAGTGAATGTTAGATAATGCTGAGGATTAAATCTCACTTGAAAATTCGTATAAATATACTAAAAAATATGCATGCATCTAAATAAGGTGGCATTCATAATAATGAATGTAATGACTGTGAAATAATAATATGCTTGTTGAATACATCAAGCATATTATTTTAAGTCTTATTAAAAGTAACAAAAAATACTGAAGCCAATAAAGGATTGAAAATTCAAAAATTATTTTCATTTTTTTTTCAAACTCTTGACTATAATGCTACTAATATTATAATTCAGGTGAAGAAAGTTACTTATACAATATTTGGATGAAGAATAATGTTAAGACAGTGATTCTAATAAATGTTGAACTATTTCTCAGTGATGTAGAAGGAAAATTTTCTGAAAGTTTATGAATTGATCAAATTCATTTCTGCAATATTTTCATTATAATGGTGAGGGATTGAATTTTTTTTTCGTATTTAAAACTTATTTTTTGAATACCTATTGCATGGAAAACCCAAACTTAATCAAATTATAGTAACCAAAATAAGATCTTATATAAAAAAGTGCACCCATAAAGTAACTGGACAATTTCTTTTACATTAAAAAATATTTTTAACCTTAAAATAAATTTAGATCCTTCAAAATAATCACCAGAGCAGTCTACACAATTTTTCCAGTGTTTCTTTGATTCATTGAAACATGGTTTTTAGGTGTTGGGACTAAGGGTTCACAGAATATGCATAACATTTGCTTTCATATCTGAGACGTTTTTAAATCTGTCCTTTCACGGTCATCTTAAGTTCTGTAAAAAGAAAAAATCAGCTGGCAATAAGTTGGGAGAATATGGTGGTTGATTTATCACTGCAAGTGGATGCTTAGTAAAATAGTGCTGTATGGGGCCTAGTAGCATCATGTAAAAGAAACCATTGCCCAGAATAAAAAATTTCCTTCCTAATTTGTGAATTAGGAAGGAAATATTCCTAATTTGTGAATTAGGAATAAATATTTAATATATGAATAACAGAACATTTCCTTCCTAATTTGCGAATTAGGAAGGAAATGTTCTGTTATTCATATATTAAATATATATTGCAATTCACCCTATAATAGATTTAATGAGGTCCTTACAATAGATTAATTTAGATATAGGTCCTTATTATTTTTTCATGACCTTCGAACTATATTATGCAAATGATATTTATGTATAAATAATAACTTTAACTGTTGAATGCAGTTTTTCCATCATTTTTTGAATTACACAAAGCTTTTTTTTGCTGCACCATTTTCATTTCATTGCTGTATGGGGCCTAGCAGTATCATGTAAAAGAAACCATTGCTCAGAATAAAAAATTTCCTTCCTAATTCGTCTTATTATATTTCTTAATCGAAAAAGCAGATCCATGTAAAAATATTGATTAATAGATTCATTTTCAGGATAATTTCATGATGAATAAGTCCTTTATAATCTGAAAATACAATCAGTACAACCTCAATCTTTAATTTTGACATCCCTGCTTTTTTGTAGTGGAGAAGACAGTCTTTTTCGTCATGCACTTTGTCTTTTTGTTTCTGAGTCGTACTGTAGACGCCAAGTCTCATCTCTCTCTCACTTTAAGAAATTGTTATCTACTCCTGCAGTAGTCAGCAAATTTTTACAGCAGCCTTTCCTTTCTTTTTCCTGTTCTGTGAAAATCTGAGGCACAAGTGGAGCACAAACATTCCTCATTTTCAGATTTTCAATTAAGGTTAACTTACAGTTTTCTTTGCTTATTCCAAGCATGTCTGGAAGTTTCAGAGTTTTTACATGTCTATTACTTTTTACCGAAGAACAAATTTTTGACAAAATAAATGACTAAAGTGATCACTGGATCTTCTATATAGGGCCCTTGTCTACATCTATTACCATGGTATTTTACTAACTGGGATTTTGCTGTTTAGGAGACCCATAAAAAACTTTTGACACGTTCCAGATCAGTATTTAAAAGAGTATATATAGCCTTGGAGCACCTTTTTAAACATTCTATGTGTGCATGTATGTCTAGGCATTAAAATAATAACACGCAATATTGTTCTAATAAAATTTCAAAAATAAATGTTGGCAAGCATGAATTGCTAAACACAGTACTTACAGGTCCCTTCTTTTTCACATATGAGCTCATTTTCTTCTGGTAGCACCTGGCAGTCAACACTTCCAATTGGGATGATCTCTTCTGTGTGAGATTTCTTTCCATTTGGTTTGAAAAACAAACCAAAACGGATATTGTACTCTTTCGTTTTGAAGACCCACTTCAAGATGGTTCCAGACACTTTTACTTCTACTGGTACCTCAAATGTTGACCTCTGTTGAACAGTGACAGACTTCATAGATGGATCATCAGCTCCACCATTTTGCTGGCTCTGTTTTAGGTAGAAAGAAGGCGGAATCTTCGAATTCCAGTTGATCTGATAAAAATAAGCACATAATACCTGTCAGTCTACGAATTAAAATTTTAATATCATTGCAGAATGAAATTATAGATTTTATTACAGTATTGAAAATTTTCATTTTTCATTAATCTAATACATAACATATACAATGCCAATCAATTATTCGGATATGGCAGAATATTTTCTAGGCATGAAAAAAATACTGAAAAACCTATATTATGTTCTATTGTTCATATATTAAAAATATATTGCAATTCACCCTATAATAGATTTAATGGGGTCCCAACAATAGATTAATTTAGATATAGGTCCTTATTAATTTTTTTCATAACCTTCGAACTATATTATGCAAATGATAATTATGTATAAATAATGAACTTTAACTGTTAAATGCAGTTTTTCTGTCATCTTTTGAATTACACAAAAGCTTTTTTTGCTGCACCAGTTTCATTTCATTAATTATTAAAGCAATTGATCTTCTTTGTTAAAGTAATTCTAATATAGTGTGGTCTATGGAAGTAAATTATTGTATAGATCAAAATAGTAAATGGTGTTCAAATATATTGAGTTGCAAGTAACCATGAATAAAATACATTTACTTGCATTCTAAATCTCAGTCTCATTTCTGAAATTTTTAAATATTTCTGCTGAATTTGAATGCAGCAGCAGAAAATTTCAATACAAATTAAATAAAACTAATCTTATGATTAATTTTTCAACTTACAAGTGTTGTACATTTTGGATTTCCATCGGGATCTGTTAATTTTCCTCCCATAAAAGCTGGAACTAATTTCGGGTCCATAATTTGAAAGAGTTCGTCTTGCCATTCATCTACAAATTAAATATTAACAAATAAGAAAATCGCAATACATAGATTTTGGATTACAGTCTATAACAACACTGAAAATAGTTCTAGAGATTATCAATTAGATACATTGAAAATCAAATAAATTTTAAGGTGCGTTATTAAAAAAAAAAGTAAGAAAGGTTTAAAAAAGGTAATTTTTTGCTTTTAAATCTCTTAGTTTGTTAATCAGTAAGAAACTGTTTAAATTCAAAAGATAAATTACAGCTCTAATGCTCTGCTGGATTGCAGTATTCTGAGATTGTGAAAGATAAATTAAGCATCTTGCATTTCACACAGTCATATTAATACTCATCTTTTATTAATTACAGCAAAATGCAAATGATAATAAAAGTTATAAGTTGGGTATATTATAAATTAAATGCATTATAGTTTATATCAATATATACATTCATAGAAAACAAAATAAAAATTTTTATTATTGAAGAAAAACACTTATTCCTCTTAAGTTGCTGTTTATTAATCAATAAAGGATTCATTAAATTTGAAAGGCAAATTAAAGAGTATATGCTTTATCGAATGGCAGCACTTGAGAATTTGCTGTGTGCACGGACATGTGAAAGATAAAAGATTTATCTTTTGCACAATGGCAAGACTTGCTATTAAATTCTGTCTGCTGCTCTTTTGTCCATCGGTGCGTTTACGGATTTTTATTTTGCCAAGACAAGTTATGTTAAACGATAACAATATTCCTTCTTTCAGGTGTAATTTGATAGTAAACCTACTCAAATATCAATCTCTGTAAGCTGATATATATTGTGAAATGACCAGCTGCGGTAAGGTAGCTTCCCCGCAAATCGGGCGTATGATTGCTAGAAAGTAGCAACCGAAAGGCAGGGTTGCCAGATTTGTAGCGAAATTGACCATTTGGCGACGAAATCGGCGATATGCCAAAGGCGGAGCGAGAACATTCTAGAACGCATTCTTAGCGGTTTTCCTCGAGAATGTTCTCGGTAGCTTAAAGCTATATATACCCAGCCTGTATGCGGAGAAGAGTATCTTGAGTAGTACGTTGAGTTCAATAGTATTATTTTGAGTTTAGAGATTAGCTTGAGAGTGACCAAACCGAATCGGGAGCTGTACTTCAGTGTTTTGCTGTGAAGCTGTCTTCACTGTTATATCCTGAAGGTTGTATCAAAGAACGTCTATGTAAAGAAGGAAAGTTTCCATAGACGTAATGTAAATCAGTTTGCTATTACGTCGCTAGAAAGCGAAGGGAAAATTCGCCAAGGGACTTGGCGACGAAAATTTTTCCATCTTCGATGCGTACAGGAAATTAAGGAACACGTGTTAAGAAGAAACGTTCTTTGACAAAACGTTTCTGCTTTATATTTTAATAGACTTTTCGCGATAACTTAAAGTCGTATTTCCATATTTTTTTTTTTTTTTTTTTTTTTTTTGGCTCAAAATAACTAATCCATTAATTAATTTGGAAGCACTTCCGCAGAGAACCCGGTAAATGTAAACATCGCCAACTTTGGCGATAATAGTTCAAACCTGGTAACCCAGCGGATTTATCCTATTCGCTTGTTCGAAGTTTGCAACCATTCCTCTTGGATTCATTTCGTTGAATTATCACTGTCGTTGTTCGCATTTGCAGCTTTATATTATTCTTCTCTTATTTAATATTATTTTTTCTGAATTTGTTAACAACGAATGGATAGAAATATTTTGGTAGATAGATGCCGGTTCTCGGTTCGGGATGAAAGGAAGAAAGTACGGCGGGAGGGGTGAATGCTAATTTGTAACACGGCTGTTCACGTTGTGTTCTTAATTATTAATAGCTCTAAGAACCAGCAATTTAAATAACTAAGTAATGCTTTTATTTTTATTATTGTTTATTGTCATCTAAAATGAGAATAAATCAATTTTTTGGCTTAAATTTTAACAATATATTGTTAATGCTTTTCTAACAATAACCTTTCAGAGGATGGCTGGTGTGACATAAATAGATGATTAAATTGAAATAAAAAATATTATTGATTATCTAAGATGACGGAATAGTTTGATGCATCACTATGGTCATCAAAATTAGCAAACTACAGCTGTTGTAAGGAATATATTGTTTTCTGTATTAACTGGAATTTAAGACAAATTTTTTTCGTTTATCACGGTTAACTGGTTAATTTCAGTACATTAATACTAATTTATATTTTTCAAATGAATTTTTATTTCCGTTATAAATGCTTATATATTGTCTTATACTTAATATATTCTTTTCTGTGCTAACTTGAATTTAATACAAATTTATTTAGTATATGACGTTTAACCAGTTAGTTTTACATATACATGCTTATTATCTGTGAATTTTTACTACCATATGCTAAATATATTGTTTTGTCTGCTAACTTGAATTTACATGCACTAAAAATCACGTCCACAAAATATCACGTTTACGGCTCGGCTCATCGCCGATGAAACGCGAGCTTGGCGAGTAAAAATGCAACGGCGCCAACGGGTTCTTTCCCGAAGCGCCAACGGGTTCTCTGCGGATGAAAACCCATTAATTTACTTGCGCGAAAAAATATTTTTTTTCTTTAAAGTTTAAAGAAATTTAAAACGATATTCGTTATGAACTCTCGATGAACGTGCCCTTCGAACTTCGACGCCAGCTTTGAACATTGGGCAATAGATATTTCGCGCATGCGCGGCTGTTTCCGTTGGGACGGAGCCACTACTGGTGCGAAGAAGTTTTCCTTCTTAATATTATATATTCTTTGGTTGTTTTGCTGATTGTTTCAGCGTGCTAATCGTAGTTTTTCGAAGACTATAAACGTGTCTTTGGAACTCTCCTGTGTAATTACTGGCAAATAAATTGTATTTTGATTCTTCATCAAGTGTTTTATCGTCAGTTACTCCAAATCCACGAACCCGTAGAATGCAACAATATATATTTTTCTTTTTTTACATATTAGTGCATTACAAGACTACTGAAAATGTTGTTATAATGGCTAAAAGTCTGATTATGATTCGGAAAGACTTTCAGATTGTTTTCACTACTACAGTATTTTTAAGTATTAAAAAAATTGTAACAGAAATTATGCACTGCGAAAAATTTAAAACTAAGTTTATAGAATTTTTAAACATGAGAGGTGAGAAGTCTTAGGAAATCCATTTTATTTCCAACAGTTATGCAAGATTATATTCAAATACCGGCATTCCATTTTATAAGAAGTTATTTCTTAATGCTTACCTGTGCGATATATTTTTATTTTACTCAAAGTGACTGCATTCAGAAAGGGCTTGAACAAATTGAAGATCCAACTGAAGTAAGATGGAACTGAAAAGTAAAAATGGAACAAATTAAATTATATTAATTGAAACTTTAGTACATATATATTATGTCATTTCTGTAATAACTACAAAGTTTATAATAATAAGGCAATTTTACTTAGTGTTCGCAATAGATAAATGTTTAATATATATATATAAGTATCAAAATGGTATTTAAAAACTTTTATGCATATGCCGTCTTTGTGAATAGAGTACAACCCGAAATATTCGAGCATAACTCACATAGATGAGAAAAGGATGGTGTATGTCTTGTAATTATTTCATACAAATCAAACACTTGCTAAGTGAGATAGAATTTTCATTTGGCTTAATAATCAGAGCAGCAAACTAAAATTCTATTTGTATTATGCCTCGGTTATAAGGTGCCTTCAGCTTCATCAAGGTTGTTTTCCTTAAATTACAAACTGTTTTGCATAGAACAGCAAATGTGCATATACTGGGCATCCTAATAAAGACTTCTTTCTTTACCTTTCCGAGCAGGTTTCTGTAAATGAGCTACCATTTTTATGAAGTAAACTATAATGTATGGCTGGATGAAATATAGAGCATAAAGAAAATTTTACTTAGTGAATTTCTATCAGCTGTATCTATTCGAAGAAAATTTGCTATATGAATATTTCCTCTTCGAAAGTTTTTTTGAAAGCATGCGTATTTATGAGCAGTTGTTTTCCTGGCATGAAGCATTTTAAATAAGAACAAGCATTTCATACGAACATTTTAAATATACTTTCTACATTCTGTATCACGTATAAAAAAACATGTTGGATATTCACCTTAAAAATCTTATGCTTGTATTTTTTTATAATAATGCCTTTTAGATTAAAAGTAAACACTTTTTTTCTTTTATGTTGCAGAGAATTTAAGCAACCATTAGATCACACGTTTTCTTTTTCGTTCTGCTTGTTAAAAATCGATAAAATTTAGGACTTGCCTTTTACGAAACAATATACGCGATAGAATATTTCCATTGCATATATCGGAGATATGGGATTCGGTCGATGTATATAAAGAAAAATTCCGTAAAGATTTGCTGCCAACAAATATCCATTCGTAAAGGAATATTGTTGGATGTATCCAAAATTACATTTCTGACTGTACTCAAATTCATTTACAGATGCGCCCAGAGAATTAATATTTACTGTATGGAGAAAAGAGCAATTGGATTAGCAAACAAGGTAATTGTTAATTGGAACACGTACTTTTGAGAAATTTCCCTTCCTAATTATCTAATCAGACAATCAAAAGAATAGGAAGCCTAGCAGAGTAAAGGAAAGCGGCAAAAGTTCTTTTAAAAGATGCAAAATTCAAAAAGCATGCTTCTCGAGCAATAGTTGTTTTATGCATTTGGTAGGGGACCAGAGAGTGTTTCATTGCAGAAGTTCCACATAGGCGACTAAATATTCGCATCGATTTGAATTTTGGAAAAACACATAAGTGCTATTTGCCTAAAAAGAGCGACACTTAATTGAAGGACATTTTAAATGAGTGAATTGGATTATTTAGATTATGATAAAGCGCATGAGGGATATCTGCCTAAGGAAGGGACATCTTCAGAAATTATTTTTTAAGGGAAAGTGGATCGTATTCACGTCACACATAAGCTAAACCACGAACCCATTCAGCAAGAATTTAAACCTCAATCGAATTACCAGCAGTTAGCGATTTTAGCGCTCGACTGCTCACGGCAGCCTTTTGAAAGCCGCTAAGCCAAAAGCATAATTATTCCTGATTACTCGAAGACCTGTGAAACTGAAGAATTAAGACCTTCAGGATTGTAACATTTTAAAATTAAAATTATGGATGCAACGTAGCTGCTCTGAAATCTGGTGCTCATACACAATCCATCAAAAGGCTAATATGGCGGTCGGTAAAATAGAAAATTAAAAAATACTAGGGAATTGCACAACAGCATATAGTAGATTCTTGTTCGTTTGAATTTATGTGGCATCAACTTGAGAAAGATGAGTCTTTATTTGCAGCTATTTTGATAAATTTCAAAGATTTTTAGCTGCTCAATAATTGGCATATTCGCCAAGATTTGTGCCAGCATTTCTGAGTGACAAAACAATATGAAAATACCCAGTGTTATTAGAGATAATACTTGTATAAATCATATGGTGCTTGTTAGATGTTCTATGTCAGAGCTTTTAATTAGTTGAGTTTTTCGTACGATAGGAAGTTAGCTGTATGCAAACAATCAATGTATTAATTCAAAATAGCAAAAGGTGTAATGATAGAAACTTACAATAGTGGTAAAAGAATATTTTAGCAATCTTAATATCCTTTTTTGAAATAGAACGTAGAAATTTTATTTTTTGACTTAATTGATTTTTTTGGTGCTCTTGGCAATCGTATTTTACTTCCTTGTGTTTAAATATAGTCTGTCAAGTGGGATATTTAGAAGGTTGGCAATTTAACAAATACATATAATAATAACAAATATAAATTAACAATAAAAGTTTTAAAAGCTTTACCATTTATGAGATAAGCTGCTTTCAGAGTCTCTGGGTAATTGTCTTGGTACATAGTAATCAGCTGAATGCCTGCATTTATAACTGGAAATAAAAATAATAATGTTTTAGTATCACAGTTTTGATTAATCATTTGAAGTTTTCTCTCTTAAAGTGAAATTAAAGTTATGTACAGGGAGTGTTACATTTGAATTGAAATTAGGAATTAAAAAGTCTATTTTGAATTAAGTTAGTAATTTTGTTTATATTTATCTTTCATATTTTATATCTTGCACATACATATATCTTTTTTGTATATGCATATAGGTAATAATTAGCCTCTTTGTATATAAAGAGGTAGATAAATAGATAGTTATAGATATATCATCAGCGGTTAAATATTATTTTAAATTGCATTTAAAATTTATGATTATTAAACAAGTAAAAACGTTACCTGATTTGTCATAGAACTGCTTCAAGGTGAAGCCATTGAAGTCTAAAATGAATGTGGTTTTCTCCTCTAATTTTACAATTTTCTGAAAGAAAAATAAATTTTGTCAAATGTCACTTCGTACATCATAGGAGTTTCGTGCAGAGAAAAGCAAATGGTGCAATTGAAGAACCATTGGAACAAGGAATAGTAAAGAATCTCACAGTATATACACATTCGAAAAATATAAGAGGCTTTTTTTGATGATTGCAAAGAAGCCTAGATATATTGTAGAAGATATTTTTACGTTTAACAGTAAGGCTGGAACGAAAAAGCATAGATGAAGTCTCTTCAAACGTTGCATATTGAATATATATATATATATATATTTTCCTTTTTGAACTTTAATTCTTAAGTATTTTCCTTTTTGAACTTTAATTCTTAAATGTTAATACTTAAATGTTAATTTCTAAGGGTACCACTTTATTGGAATTACTTTTGGTTTTGATTTTTACCCTTGCCTGCATGAATGACGAAACACGAATTGAATGATTGGAGAGTTAGGTTTGGAGGCAACTTCCCCTTGATAAGTCTGTCTCCTGCCTACTCTACGGTCATTCACATATGCATTTTTTAAAAATTGTTTAATTTAAATTTAATTTATTAAATTAGTAGATTTATTTTCATGGATAGATTTTGCACTAGATTTGCTTATGCTTCTGAATTTAAATGGTATTGTAGATTAGTTCGAGAATTAAATCTTTTACATGTTTGCACATTTTTTTAAAAAATTATTTTAAATTATTTCGGCTTTTTTCCTTTTTTTAGAATTTAAATTTGCTTTTTTACTTTTATACGTATTTGTTAAGAATTTAAATTTGTTTAAATTTATGTTTAAATATGTATATATATATAAACTTTCGATGAGTGATGTCAGTGTCACGGTTATATTGAATAAAAAACTCATGATTAAACTAGTAATTTTATTATGGAAAGAAAGGCAAGTTTCAAGGGCTAGTCACTGCTTAGTTCATGAAATTTCACAGAATTGCTATTCGCGTAGAAAATTTCCACCTACTCATTGCGCATTTCATGTTACACTTCACTTTTTGCTCATTCATCATCGAATCGGTGTTTGACAACTACACTCAGGTCCATAAATTAAGGATAATGCAAAATCAGGCAAAGGAAGAGTTAGAAGCAAAATAAATTTGACTTATTTGTAAAGCTTATGTATTAAACAAAAGGTAAAGAGCAAAAAAAGATGCTATATGTTTGATATTATTAAAAAAATTAGCGATTTTTTCTCCCTGGAGCAAATTACCAAAAAAAAAAAAAAAAAACTATTTACAAAAAACCAATATTACTTGGTTGGTATGATTGTTAATACATTGTATGTCTCCCAGACGATGCAATACAGTCCGTACAACGCCTAGGCATGCTGAATATCAAATTATCGATCTGATCTTGGGGGATATTACACCACTCAAAAAGCAATGCTCTCCGAAGTTCCGGTAGACATGTAGGAGGAGGTTGACGGGCTGCAACTCGTCGGCCAAGCATGTCCCACGCGTGCCTCTACTGGATTCAATTCCGGTGAGAATGCTGGCCAGTCCATACGGGTCATATCCTCCGATTGAAGGCATTCGCTTACGATGTTTGCACGGTGAGAACGGGCGTTGTCATCCATAAACACAAATTGTGCGCCCATAGCGCCCCAAAACAAACGTACATGTTGTTCCAGAATGACGTCCCGATAGATTTGGCTTGTCATGGTTCCAATTTGAACATGCAGGTCTGTTCTGGAACCCAGAATAATTCTACCCCAAACGAGCACTCCTGCACCACCGTAACGGTGTCGTTCAATGATGTTTTCTTGGTGGTAACGGGTACCTGGAGCTCTCCATATGAAAGTCCGGCGAGAATCAGACTGCAAGCTAAACCTGGACTCGTCGGAAAACATCACACAAGCCCACTGTTGCAGTGTCCACAATGCATGCTCTCTACTCAAGGCTAACCGCAGGCGACAGTGAGTTGCAGTAAGTGGAACGCATATGACAGGTCTACGAGCATATAGACCAATCCGCCCTAAGCGTCTGTACACGGTCTGCCTTGAAATTGTCGTACCAGTGGCTGAAGAGTGCTGACGAGACAGGTCTGAGGCTGTGCTCCGCCTGTTTCTTTTGGCAGTAACTGCCGAATACCAGTCCTCATTCGGCGTTGTAACTCTGGGGCGACCTGTGCTGTAACGTCTACTCACATTACCATCATCTTGGAATCATTGCCAGAGCCTGGAGATGACACTCTGGGCATTCCAAGTTCGTCTGATACTTCCAGTTGGGTACGCCCACATTGCAGACGGGCGATAATTCTACCACGTAAAAAATCATCCAAATGCGTCCTTTGTGTCATAACTATTCGGTTATTGCACTGAAATGCTTATAAAGCGCCTGCGAACAATTTTACTTCTTTGCTTGTATTTCTTATATATCACTCTCTTACACTGTCGTCATTGTGACGTACCATCGGTGTCATCTGGTTACTTCCTGAAATTTGCATATGATTCTTGAAGATGTGTGTAGTGATTTTACAGGTGATATTAGAGTTCGATTTCTGCGTGACTCCGAATTATCCTTAATTTATGCACAGTATCTTCAAATGAGAAAAAAGATTTGGTGTTAAGTCTGGACTGTAGTAAAGATGATCCATTTGGTTTTTAGTTTATTGATCCAAAAAGGGCTCGAGTTTGAACAAGGAATTATGCGATTGAACATTATCAAGGAGAGAGCATGCTGTGTAGCCGAAACTGGCTATTAACTTCAGCATTCCGTGCTGGTTATTTTAATATACTTGGCATGATGTTTTCAAAGTCTGAGGTTAGACTTGAGTTTATTTTATCTCGGGGCATGATTTCCATCAGCAACATTTCATATCGGTTCCAAAACATCGTATCAGCGATCTTCTTAGTTTCACCGATTTCTTGGGAGATCTTGAGTCCTCCATTCCATGGATTGACATTTCATTTTTGGAGGTGCAGGAGATTAATTAAAATACCATTTTCTATTGATATGTGACTCAAAAATGCATCATCTTTCTAATGACATCGTACCTGGAAGATGAGAGCTGCGCCAACTAACTATTTCGCATGTTCATCGAAGTCTTTCAGTATGTAGTTAGAGCACAACTTTTCAATCCATTTTTGTCAACTTGATAAAGGAGAATACTAGGAAATTGCTTAGAAAGTAATGAAATTCTGAGACGCCGATCTTCGTTAATTTTTCTGTTAGCAGCTATCACTAAATTTTAAAGATTGTCTAACACTGAGCTGTTCATTATGAATATCATTACAGCTTTCAATTATTTCGCTCATTCATGTTCTCAACATTGAATTCGAAGTAGAGTATTGTCCATAAATTTCGCAGATTCCACGTGATTAGCTGATAGCAGGTTTCCACATTCAAAAACTGAACACCAGGCGATATTTCACATTTCGCGGGATTTTCAATTCTCTTAGAATGACTTCAAAATATTCTTCAATTTTGGGATATAAAGAAATTCGATTACCGACAGTCTCAAAAAATTACTGCATGTGAATAATTTACAGCATAGCATTTTGTATAAAATTATTACTAGATATTACTCATTTCTGACATTTGCATTTTCCCCACTTCTGTCAGTATTAGGCCAGTTATGTCCACCAGCCTGTATCTAACTGCATACCATTTAGTGATTGCAGCATCAGTTTCAGTACATTTATTTCTCCAAGAACTAGCCAAAATTGCTTAATTTATTTTTTGCCTTCTCATATCAGTTATACTGAGAAATGAAATGCGACTAAGCAGAATAGTAAAAGATGATGTTCGTATTCAAGGCTCATAATAGTCGATTAGTAACATTATGTAGTAATAATTTAATACGCAGCAAATCATTGGCTGCTGTCAGTTAATATTTTCTTAATAAGAAATATAAAATTATGTCTTATAGCAACCTCTGATCATTCCTGATTGCCGACGTTTGCATAACATCTATGCGTAGGTATCAGTAATTTTATATCAAGATAAAGCTCTTTAAAGTTTAAGTCAACTCCTGAACTGAATATGGGGTATGTTCATTACTTATTTGATAACGATGAGGTTTTCTTATTTTATTTCTACTCAAACATGTAACTGTGATAGTAATATTTAACTTTTTGCTTAGCCTAAATAAGATTACGCGATTTTATATACATACTATAAATACACATGTACATGCAGATGAAATCTTGTTGCGAAACAAAAGACAACTAAGATCTTTTCCTGCAAATAATTGCCCAACATTTTCAGGATCTTATGAACTTGGTATATACTGCCGTAGAGTTAAAACTATTTTCATTATCAAAGATGATAGGTAATCCGTTGAAAGGGTCATAATTCTCTAAAGGAGCGTTTCTCTATCTGCCATGGACTACAAGTGGTTTTCGAAGCTTGGCCTTGTGGCTCTGTTATATTTCCAAAAAAGAAACAATTAAGATTCAAATTAACTGCGTATACGACAGACACTACAGCTGGAAATCTGAGAGTTTGGAAATTAGACGTGGTAATTGTCAATCACATTTTCCCAAAGACTGACATTTTATGATATTAATTACTGGTTATCCTACTTAACAGACTTCCCAGTCTAGTCTCACTCTCTAACAAAAGAGAGATTGTGATGCTTCTTACCGATATACATCCAAGCATAGGACAGTTAAACAAGAATCAGCAGGTTCATCCGTCTCATTATTTTAAGTACCAACGTTTATTTCATTTTTAGTTAATAAGATAATCCAAATCTAGCAGCCTTAGATTATTAAAACAAATGTGAGTTTTCTTCTGTTACATTAATTACTAATACCAGTATAAAATGATATTCGTTTTAATTAATAGTATGTAAAAGGCATAATTACTGGAAGAAACAAATGCTAAATAATTGCTTTCTGAGGAAATAAGAGTAAGTGATATGTACAGCATTTCAATTTATAAAGGTAGCTCCTACTTGAAAAGTGTTTGAAAAACGCTGTCCTAAGGTATCAGTTAGGCAGTTCTTGAAGGTATAAAAGCTTAAGAACAATCTCTTCAACCAGTTTCTCTCTTTTCTTTCCTTGTTTCTTTTGAATTCTTGTGGTTGCAATTCGTGGAAGATTAAATCTTTTTTTTTTTTTTTTTTTTTAACTTTCACTACTGCCTAACGTAATTAAAGTACAGTAACAGATAAAATAATACAAAAGAAAATTACAGCATTCCTTGGTAAACTCGTGATTATAAACGAAAACGTCCGTCTCATTAGCAAAGCCGGTTTTAAAAGGAAATAAAATAATTGTGAGAAACTAGAAAGTTGTTCAGAATTAAAAGATATAAATCATCCAAAATTTCTGGAACATGTTTATTTCTTGTAATTTTAGATTAAATATTCTTTTATAAACTGCCCATAAACGGCCTTTCACCTTTATTTCGCGATATTTTTCAGCCTGATTGCGTAAATTAAACGTAAGTAGAAAGAGTAAAAATTAATAATATCCTATTAGCAAAACGAAGTAAATATATTCGTACCTTCTTCTTCTCTTGCACCATTTTCAGATCATGTTCCAGCATGTATATGAGAATTTTCATCATGTCTACGATGCGTAGAGAATATACAAAACCTAAAAGATAAATTTATCAATTTCAGTGAAACTTTTCCTTTTCAGACTTTATACTGATATAATTTTGTTTTTTATCTCAGAGAAAATTACTCATGAAAAATAATAGAATATTGTGAGGAATACTGAAAAAAAAAAAATGTTTTTATTGTTTATGTTTAAGTAAGTTTTTGTAAGGTAGCTTATATGGGTTAGAAAACATTTTAAGTATCATAAATACAATTTTTTTTTTTTTAATTCTGAACGAATTTCATTACAGTTATTGCGAAAGAAACCTGAATTAGATAATTAAGCATACATATTGCTAATAAATGTTTACATTATTATGAGGTTTGCGTTTTGATTTATTCATTAAAATTGCTTTCCAGTCTTCATTATTATTGAACTAAAGGATATTTTTGTTAAGGGGACTCATACACCTTAAAACCCATAAGATGTTCGAATAGGTGACTGTCGCAAGAATTGGGATAACTTATTTATTTTAAAAGCAATTACTACCAACTTTTTACAGCTGACTACATAATATACCTGCTTTCTGAAATAGTAATCAGAAAATTTGTGTTGCCACAAACATTTTTATAATTTAATACTGCTCTTGTGACAACAACGTTTTCGTCATGTTTCCAACCTTGCGCGCACAGTTTCAAGATATTCTGTTTCACAATTTAATTCCATATTTAATATATAGCTTTTATAACATTTGGAAATTACTGTGAACCTAAAAATTCTAAAAATTTCATGTTAAATTTTTATTTTATTTAGAGTTGAAGTTTATAAAATGTATTTTATTAACAAAAATCTGTAATATTTTCGTCCATATAATTTTTTTAATATTAAAATATTCATCGGATTGTTGGTTCAGTTAGAAAGTAGTGCCCATATAAAGAATTCCATTAAATTTTAAGTATGTACCATTAGCCATTTTTAAAATATCATGCGCGCAAGGTGGAAACATGGCGAAATATTTTGTCACAAAGAGGATTAAATTACAAAAATATTTGTGGCAACACAAACTTTCTGGTTACTATTTTCCAAAGCAGCTATATTATGTAGTCAGCTGTAAAAAGTTGGAAGTAATTGCTTTTAAAATAAATAAAATATCTCAATTCTTGCAACAGTAACATATTCGAAGATCATAAGGGGTTTAAGGTGTATGAGTCCCCTTAAAATTATGTTTAGCTGCTATATGCGTATTAGTATCGGATTAAGAAGGTTATATGGGTTTTAACTTAATGGCAGAGGCAAAGTGTAGGGTACAAAAGTATTAATATATCAAAAAATAATTTTAATAAAATACAATCAAATTAAATTAAGAATCTTTCGTATTATAAGATAGCATACGTGAAACAGTTTTTTACAGAAAGATATATGCGTCAATGTTGCCTATTGGTCATAATTTTGGAGGCTACAAATGTTACAACTTCGTACCTTTTTTTCAATAAATTTTAAAGTTTAGAAAAAATATTACCTTTATAATCACAGATACCAGCCATGAACAGCCTGACAACGCTGTGTTCTTTATCAAATCCTAGACATTCCGTGATTGGATGCTTTTTATACACCTGCGAACAGAAGAAATGGTTTAGAAGAAATCACATTTTGGGAGAAAAAAGTAGTTTCTTAAGAGATTATTATAAACACCACATGAATACACGGTCTTTCCCAAAGTAATGAGAATATATACTTTGAATTGAACACATAAGTAATTAATTGTTGTTTATCAGCTCCGAAATAGACATCCTGCTATCGAATACCGAAATTTTAGCATTTTCGTCAATTTTCTTTATGATGGGAAAAATCTTCATTTGAAATGTTGTAGCAGCTGCCTAGACGCTATCATGTATCCTAAAATGATGTCCTTTGAGGCAGGTTTTGAGCTTGTGGGATAATTTAAAAAATAAAAAATCGCTCAAAGCCCAATCAGGGTTGTATAAAAGATGAAGAAGGCTTGTGATATTATTTAACAAAATAGTATTGTTATGAAATGTACAGGCGGGGTGGGATAGCTTCCCCGCAAAGCAGTTTTAGGGTTGCCATAAAATAACAAGGGAAGGCAGGGTTGCCACATATGGCGACAAAATTGGCGATGTGCCATGGACGAATGGAGAACCTTCTGGAACGAATTCTTGCCGGTTTAACCCAAAATGTTCTCGAACACAAGTCGAAAGCTATATAAGCCCTGCTGGAGTGCGAGATAGTTAGTCTCGAGTTAGACAGTCCGTGCGGAGTCGATCGAGTTGACAGTCGGGCAGCGAGTGCATCGAAAGAGTCTCTTAGTGTATCGCGGTTAGTGCATTGTCGAGAGAGTGTGTTGAGCTCTGGGAACGACTGAACCGAAGAGTCGGGAACTGGGCTCTGTGCGTCGTGCATCGCAAGTTGTAGCGTGGAGAGTCTCGAGAGTACGTGGAGTTCCGAGAACGACCGAGCGGAGTCGGGAGCTGTACTCTGGTGCTTTGCAGTGAAGCTGCCTTCATCGTGATAGCCTGAAGGCTGTGTCGCTGATTGTTTCACCTTGTTTATAGTAGATCTTCGACGACTGTAAAAAGTGACGGAGCTGTCCTGGTTAATATTGGATAAATAAAGTGTATTTCGATACTTTATCAAGTGCTGTCATTGTTATTCACTCCAAATCTACGAACTCCGTAACAACTGGTGTCAGAAAAATAACGTAACAGTATTACCTCATGGGCTTGATGAAGAGACAATGTGCTTGCAATCCATATACATTTTTTTTAACCTCGAGAACCTGTAATGTATATGCATTTTACGTTAATCTGCCCATGTATGTCTTGTGTCACCTGACAGCTTGGTTTGGAGACAAACACCATCCGCACTGATCGTCCTCAACAATTGCAACGTTTCAGAACCAGATCTTCCGCATTTGAGAAAAACTAATCTTGCGTCATGTTTGAAATTCCTCTGTATTTTGACCCATCGCAAGGCACAAAAACATTATATTTTGCTAGCGTGCAGACCTCCTGATAAATGTCAAATTGTATCCTGGTTTCCCTTTCACCCGCCTCAAACTTATTTCCCATTCCTGACCTTTTCTGCACCGCAAAAGAAAATTATGCTCGTTACTTTTGACCGTGTATGCCATAAATCAGAAATGGTCAACTGGCGCCCAAGGCAATGTTTACAGTATTTATCTGGACTGACTACAGACTTTCGAATGAATGTTATGTTCATTTATTATTATTTTTTTTTTTTTCTTTCTGATTTCATCCAGTAAAATGCGAACTAAAACACGCTACTTAAATGGCACTGACATTTGAAAATCGATATCACGAGAAAAGTTAAATACTCTAGTGGGACAATTTCATCAGTGTTTTGAAGCACAAACATGCGTTAATGTATTATTATTACATTAAGAAAATGGTGAAATAGGCACAGAGAAAGCACCTTATTGATAACTGATTTGAGGATTTATTGATTATAGCAACATCATACTGGAAACTGATGTTGATAAACTTGTTGTTTCTCATAAACAACTCTCGATGTTCTCACTAACTTGAATTATATTTTAAGTTTTACAAGTTTAAGAAAAGATATCTTGTTAAAATGCATTCAAAATGGCATTTCGAATTATATTTGTGACACCTTACGTTTGTTTGCAATTTCCTTCAAATCTGTTCAACTTTTTGAAAATTAATTTGGAATGCATATTAGGACAAGGAATTCTTTCCAAGAAAACCGTTCACGGTTTCAGATGACTTTAGAGGCTGAACTTTGGAGATGTCTACTCTGGAGATGGTTGCCTTGAAAATTTATGTTATATGAAGCATTGATCACTTTCAGAGGTAGCTGTCTTGTCAAATGGTGGCCACAAGAGGATTAACTGTACTATTTTCGGAATAATCTGCATTTATTACAATAGACCATATTCGTAAATGTTGTCCTAAATTCGAAATTGTGAGGCCCTTGGTATCGAAACATTTAAAATTAACCTTCATATGTACTGAAGAAAGCCGCCTTTACCATTAACTATAAGCAATATTCAAAAATACATTTAAAAACTAAAAAATCTTCCAGAGTAATTTGTGGTATGCAGTAAAATAGAGCTTTCGTATGCGTTTAGGAATCAAAATCAGTACACGTATGACACGTTACTAAAAATGATTCAAATAGTGATTTACGACACCTATGAAATTTCAGATGCGCGTTGAAACACTTACAGGACCGAAAATGAAACAAACGAAAAAAAAAATTCCTGTATAACTTATGTGCAATTAATAGTAAACTAAAGCTGAACGCTGATTTAATCGCAATCTCAGAAAAGCACTAAATTTATCTTGCCTTAATAGTAAAGACGTTGTTCTGGAGTTTCGTTAGAATTTATTCCAGACGACTTAAAAGCTGAAACTTAACGACGATTCTTTCTCGAATCTTTTAAAAGGAAGTATTGGTTTAACTCAAGGGCATTACAAACACTGCCCGGTAGTCTCACAAATAAAGAGACTTCTATTTTTATAAATATATTGTAATTTTAAAGAGTTAGTGTAAGTTAGAAATGCTACAAAATTCTCGAGGCTTATGAATATTGTTAAGACAGCCCTGTTAAAATACGCGTAGGTTTACACAGATTCATTACTGTGAGCACCAGAACGATTTCAATTATTGTCATACAGAAACTGAAAGATATGAATCATGAAATGTTTTCACCCGGGAGAAATATCCTAGATTGTATAACATGCCACGAATTATGGTACATATTAAAATACGATAATGATTAAAATATAGTTCCTCAGGCTAAATCATAAAATATAGAGGGACGTTTAAAGTATCCTGTTATAGCATAATGAAATTATAAATTGCATTATGCAAGTCCATTGTCTTAGAATCTTGAATTTCTTATTTTACCATTGAAATTATGCACAGTTAAACAACCCGAAAAAATATTGTTAAGCTGCACATTGTTGAAATTAAATCAATTAAGCTACAAAAAGCTTTAACTGGGAGATAGAGTTTTGCACTCACTTCTGGTAGTTCATAAGCTGAAGTTAAGATTGTGTCAGCTCCAAGTTTCTTTCGGAATTTGAAACTCTAAAAGAGAAATAAAAAAGACTTAAGAATTTATCTTTCGTTAAATTATCGGCAGATATCATATTTACATACATAAAGTGGTAAAATAATTCCGTAAAGTTTAGAAATACTTAAAAAATTTGAATCCGTTTTACAGAAATCAATTACACGATGAGGAACTTTTTATGACAGGGAAATTATTAGTTTAGATTTTCATCAGTAAAAGGTTAAATTAGTTGAATACGGCAAAGTCTCGAGTGCTGCCTGCCTAAGAGAAAGGGTACCTTCGTGGAGGACTTCATATTCACGTTACACATGGGTAAAACTCCGAAAACCAACCATGGGGCCAGCGCGTTCACCTGGGTTTGAACCCAAGCCAGGTCGAACTACCATTATTCAGCGGTCTTAACCTATCGGCCACTGGTGGGCCATTTCATCAGTAAAGAAAACTATAATGATCATAGTCATCATAGTTTTGATCAGAAAAGAAACTATAATGATCATAGTCATCATAGTTTGATCAGTAAAAAAACTATAACGATCATAGTCATCATAGTTTTGATCAGTAAAAAACGATAATAATCATAGTCATCATAGTTTTGATCAGTAAAAGAACTATATAGTCATCATAGCTTTGAAAACGATCCTAAATGATTTCTGCGCTGAATAATTAGTTTAGTAATATGTAATATGTAACTGCTTTCTTGCATATGAATGAATCGTTTTCATTATTGCTTTGGCTGTGATCATTACTGCAGATTTGGTACAAGCCCTTTTATTTATAAAAAAATTAAATCGATTCAAACGCACTCTATTTAACTTCTATAAATTTTTTGAAATTTTATAGACTTTTGAATTACCATATCCATGTATACAAACATTAATTGAAAAAATTAAGGTAAAATGAAGAAAGCATAGTGAGCATTTAATTTGTTTTATTACCTCTCGGATCATTCTTTCTGCTTTGGCTAGGTCGAAATCCCGAGCTGAAATTGGAAAGAAGTAGAAAATAAAAATTTTGTTACTAAGATAATATAGTTGTAAGAGTTAAAAACGTTTTAAATAATTATACATAATGGTAATAAAGTAAAATTATTGTTGTAGAAAAATATCAAGAAATTTGTATTAAAAGGTACATGCAGTTTTGATTTGACCCGCTATATTACACTACTCTCTACAAGCAATATATATCGCTCTCAGTATAATTGATGATTGCTGTCATAAAGCGATGTTGAGTGGATGGTACTGCATTTTGATAGATAAGAAAACTGAGATGATGTTTCTTATGTTAAAAGTTGTCTGAATTAAGAATAAATAAAACTGCAACCTGAAAATTTACCACAATCAATTAATCCTATAATTCTCAAACATTTTAGGTTCCAGGAATTTTTTTTTTTTTTTTTTTTTTTTTTGTATCAAAATATTTTTATGGTGCTCTATATAAGAATTATAAGCCTACATAACAATTATCCACCTTGAATATGGATATGAATTATAGATGTGTGGAGGACACCCATTGTCTAAACATAGGCAATGCGAGTATTGTCCAGCCGTACTAATTATCCAAATAAGTATCCTTTATGGGCCCACAAGAGGTCCTGCCAGGCGTTCCTGTGTTGCATAGTTGTCTGCCTCTTGTGGACAGGAAGTTCATTATGTTTATGATTTCCTTTCTGAGATGTTTGTTCTTGATTTCTTCTTAGAAAAGGATTTATTTCACTTTCTGAATTCGGAAGTTTTAGATGATGTTCAGATGTGAGGGAGCATTTAAATAGGTAGTGTTCGGGGCTGCCTCTTTCGCCATATACACACTGATCGGATGTAGCTAAGTTCCTTGCGTAAAAGTAAGGGGAAATGGGCCATGCTTCGATGTGAACCATGTTATTTCTCTTTTTATTGAACTGGGTGCAGTGCCTACTTTTAGAAATAATTGATATCCACCTTGAATACCAGAATACAGGCCTACATAATAATTATCCACCTTGGATACCAGAATACAGGCCTACATATTAATATAATTAGGCTATAATATATGCCTATACAATAATTACAACTTAGCCATTAATATAGCTCTGTGGATTAAGTTTAGAAATAAATGAAGGACCAATACATATTCAATAACAATTTATATAAAATGTGCTGTATTACATATTTATCAACCATATCGTTGAAATGAATAAATCACAATTAATGAGAAGAGCGAGCATTTTTATGCTGCACATCGTTCGAAATAAAGCAATCAAACACAAAAGTGTTTCATTTTCTCTTCTACACAGAATTTTCTTATGATTCTTGCTTTTCTGTACGTAGTGATGGCCGAAGGCTTAGCTTTACGCAAATATGACGTCAGAGATGCCTTATTGGTCTCTCAATTATATTTCAAAGTCTCTATCAAATTTTACTTTTACAGACCAAGATAGCTCAATAATATCCCTCTGCAGAAGTAAATTCATGCGAGGCTTTGGTTCTGATAGGACCTTGAATCCATAATAATTTGTCAACATTATCTTTTTAAAAAGTAATTTTCAAATCAGTGGGCAAGGTGGTAGATGCTTTGCCTCAAAAACAGTGGTTTGTACAATCTCTATTGGATGTTCTTCCTACCCTAATATCAACACATCGATGTTTCGATTGTGAAACTGTATGAACTGAGTATCATTTTTAGGAAAAAATTGGAGCATTTCGCGATTCCCATGTAAGCCACACTGGAAATCACTGAATTAACCTAACAACCAACCTTAATTAAAAATCAGCTTTTAAGAGAGTCTAAATACTCTAGATCAGGGGTTCTCAACCAGTGGTACGCGTACCACTGGTGGTACGCTAGAGAAAAATAGCTGGTACTCAAAGAAGCAAAGTACTTTTAACTATTAAATTCAAAAATTAAAACCCCAACATCCTGATTGAGTTTTTCTCTAACCCTCGTAAATTTATGCGATCTGAGCTTTGTTCAAGAGTGGTGGGGGTAGTAGCACTTTGAAGTGGTGGTACTAAAGATTTTCAAATTTTGTTTATATGGTACACGTTAGTCAAAAGGTTGAGAACCGCTGCTCTAGATATGTCTTCCCTATCATATATGTCTTCCCTAACTTTACTTTAATTGTTCATATATGTCTATGTCTGGAAAGTGCCCCCTATCTACCATCAGTCTTTAAAGCAATTAGACATCTTTACGTGTATATTTGAATTAAGTTTTGTCTTTAATGATAGCAGCATTTGATTAATTGATTAACTTTCGTTTTCTAGCGTTTGAACTGCAATAAAAAATATACCAATGCAAGAAATAGAAAATTTGTTATTTTTGAAGTAAGTTTCATTACCTTTCAACCATCTAAGGAGAAACTGGTCATCATGGTGGTGTTGTAAGATATCTTGCACAGCTCTTCGAAACTAGGAGAAAAAAAAAAAAAAAAAAAAAAAAAAAAAAAACGTAAAATAGTGCATCTTGGATTACACATTCGTAAATCTGCGTATAAATAAAAATGAGTAATGAAATTTTTAAAAGGTGTTTATCAAGAAAAATTCTTATAAACACTAAAGGAAAATGTTGATCATTATGTCAGTGCAGTAGCAGCGCTGTCCCTAGGCTTTTTCCACCTAGTGCAATCTTTATAACAACTACATTCAACCACCCAATGCCTACGTAAATTTTGAAAATTGTGACGCTCCCAAATCTTGCCGTCGTTGCGACCGCACTGCTTCTGGTGTCGGCCCTGTGTAGCAGGAGGTGTTAAATAGAGATAAACCTCTATTCTCCGACTGTGTGAGGCTAGTGTCCCCTCAAATTAAATGATAATTAATTGTTTAACTTTGGAAAGGAACAACCTGCTTCTTAATATATTCGCCCAGACCGTAAAGTTTGTTGCTTTGCCTGATTTTACGTTATATTCGCCCAGACCGTAAAGTTTGTTGCTTTGCCTGATTTTACGTTATATTCGCCCAGACCGTAAAGTTTGTTGCTTTGCCTGATTTTACGTTATATTCGCCCAGACCGTAAAGTTTGTTGCTTTGCCTGATTTTACGTTTTACTTTGGTGTGCTTCTCTTCTCTTTTAATTTTCTGTGCATTTGATTCATCATATCGATGGATGGAAGATGACGCATCATATCGATGGACCATATGACGCATGGAAGACAAATACTTCAATGTAAAATGGAGGGGTTGGAAGACCTTAGTTCAGTGTAAGTTTTTTTTTTTTTTTTTTTTTTTTAATATGAAACTCTATTTAGTGAGAGACTGACATAATTCCCTCTTTTTCAGAAGCAACTATTCCCCATTTTTTCCTGAAGATGAGAGACCTGTATCAATCGTCCTTCAAATAGGTAGAATGTTATATAACATTTACCCCAGACTAAAGCAGGGGCGTAGCTAGAGGGGGCATCTGTCCCCGGGCGCAGAATCCAAGGGGCGCCAAACTGATGTTACGGCATTTTAGAATTAAATGTTTTCCATCCTTGGCAAGCAGTAGGGGGCGCGAAATCTTCAGTTGTCTCTGGGCGCTGAAAACCCTAGCTACGACTCTGGACTAAAGTTAACAATGTTGCCATCAACATAACAGTATTAAACTAAGAGGAATTTACTTTTTGCTTTAAAATGTTATTTTTGTATTGACACTTAACTATATTTTTCAGTGAAACGAACGGAAGGGGGTGGGATTCAGTATTCGTAGGAAATACCATGAGTGTAGATTTTCCTTCATGTTATTAAGCGGTTAGTTTGATGTTAAACTGTTCTTAAACAACTGATAATTAAGACACAATAACACGCCGAATAAATACTAATTCAGAATTCAAACAACAAAAATCAGCGTTAATTTACAAAATTTTCACAGGACTAGTTTCGATGGTTTTACCGAACCATCATCTTCAGCTGCAAAACCGCAAATGAACAAGATAGGAAATAATGTTTAGATAAGATAAGAAAGCCTGGACAAGAATAAGCAAGTGGCGCCATCTGTTGGCGAAACCAGAACTAAAACATAATTTCTCTAAAAGCCGAAGGCAAATTTGGATTGGAATTAGGATCGTTAACTAGAACAGAAAGATTTTTATGAATGTGAAATGCCTCTAGAAAATCCAGTTCTCCAATGGAAGATGTTTTTTGAATAATTTTGGCAGCAGAAAAATTGAAAGTGTGATTTTCGGACCAACAATGTTGAGCAACAGAAGACTTCTGTGTTTCCTTTTTTCTAACATATGCCTCATGTTCTTTGACGCGAAATTTTAAGGCTCTCTTAGTTTGGCCCCAATGTAAATTAAACCCGCACTGGCAAGGAATGTATAAAATACCCCAGGAATTCATATCCGGAATGGGGTCCTTGAGTATAGAAGTTGGAATTTTATTGATGGGAGAGTAAACAACCCGAAAGTTAAATTTCTGCAAAATATGTGCAACTTTATAGCTAATTGATGGAAAGAAGGGAATGACAACAGAATTTTTATAATCTCCTAAAATAAGAGTGTGGCTTTTTAGTGTGTTGAGATGAGAATTTTTTAACTGCTTGATTAATAATGTTGGGTGAAAAGCCCCTGTCAATAGCTATTGCTTTTAAATAATTTAGTTCTTCATCAAGGGCTAGTTTGGAGGAGCAAACTTGAAGAGCACGGAAAACATAGGAATAAAATGAAGCTAACTTTTGTTTAGTCGGATGACATGATTTAAAGTGTGGTGGAAGGCAAACCGATGAAGGTTTACGGTAAACTGTAGTACTGAAGTTGGATGTGTTACGTGTGACCAGAATGTCGAGAAACGGAAGAGAATTGCAAGTCTCAACTTCAAAAGTGAACTGAATAGCAGGATCAATAGAATTCATTGTTGAAAGAACTCTATTTAAATCATCTTTATTACCTTCAAACAGGGTAAAAGTATCGTCAACGTAGCGGAACCATGCCGGGAAGTTTAAAGTTTCAAAACAATTTTGATTCATAATAATGCATGTAGATATCAGCCAGGATGGGACTGAGGGGGCTTCCCATGGCTAATCCCTCAGTTTGCTTGTAATATTTATTTTGGAAAACAAAATGTGTTTGTTTCAAACAGAGTTGAGTGAGAGAAATTAGCTCATCAATTTCGATTGCAAGAGAAATGAAATTCGCGAAGTCTGGTTTCTAGACATCTTAATGCACCCTCCACTGGGACATTGGTGAATAATGATTTTACATCAAAAGAAACCATGAGTAAATTACGAGGAGAAATTTTTTTAACTTTTTTTACAAACTCTATTGAATTTTTTATGGTGTAAATGTTATTGTCTAATAGAGTGGAAAATCTAGAAACTAAATATTTAGCTAATGGATACGAGGCAGTACCTAAATTTGATACAATAGGGCGGAAAGGAATACCACTTTTATGAATTTTGGGAAGAGCATATAATCTGGCACAATTCGCAACAGATGGGATAAGCGAATGTTTTAAGTTGCTTGAAATGATTTGCGAAGATTTGATCGCAGTTTTTATTTTGGATAAGTCCGAAGGTGAAGGATCTTTAGGGATCGGATTATATGGTCCTTCGTTTAAGAGTTTAGTGACACCATCGATGTAAGTGTTCTTATCCATGACGACTATCTGGCCACCTTTGTCGGCCTTTGAAATGGACAATATCCGGGTTAGAATGAATCTCGCGCATTGTAGCTCTTTCTCTCGCAGTTAGATTTGGTTTTCAAAGGTTTATTATTGAATTTCACATTATGAGCGATAAGATGCCTAATCATTTCTTTCTGTGAATCTGAAACTTTACTGAACTTGAAAGCTTTTTCGATAGGAGCCAAAATCTTTGGAATCGAGGGTTTACAGGTTTGTGAGAAGTTAAAATTATATTTTAGAATTCTCTCTTGTTCTTCTGAAAGACTAACATTAGAAATATTAACTATTGGCTTGATGTTTACAATGGGAAGATTTTTTGAACTACTTGGACTGGAAGACTGTAAAAGAAGTTTTTCGAATTTAACTGCAAGGGTGTGTTTATGACGGTTCTTGGTCTAGAACGGAGAATGCAGTTAACCGTCATAAAAACACCCTTGCAGTTAAATTCGAAAAACTTCTTTTCAACGATTCAACGAATGTTATCGATTTGACTTGTTTCCTTTTCATAATTTATGGTTTTTAATATTCCGAACTTATCTGAGAGAAACGTATAACATTCTTTTACTTTTTTTGTTTTTGTTTTTGTAGGTATATTTTATGTTTTGTTTCCTGTTTTATTTTAATTTGTGGTAGGATATGAAATCAGTATTGTTGAAAATGCATGCACTGAAGTTTATGCACCTTCGATACGATTACTGGAATTGTTGACATTGTAAGCTAGAACAGATTAGATCATTCTAATATGGCAAAGTGCACTACAGTTATTTGTCTAAGGGAAGGAATGCCTTTCGTGGAGGACTTTCTAAGAGAAACTACATCGCATAGATAGAATTTTATATAACATTTACCCCAGTTTAAAGTTAACAATTTTGCCATCAACATAGTTGTTTTAAACTAAGAAGAATTTACTTTTTACTTTAAAATGCTATTTTTGTATTGAAGCTATATTTTTCAATGAAACGAACGGGAAGGGGAAATTCAGTATTTGTAGGAAATACCATGGGAAAAAATACGAAATATGCTAATGCAGCCAGCACATTCGCTTAGCTCGAACTGAGCTATAATTGTAAATACAATATCCTTACTAATATTATAAATGCGAATGTGAGTTTGCTTGTGTGTTTGTTTATTTGATACGCTTTTACGCCTTAATTACATAACCTATCATCACGAAATTTTCAAGAAATATTTTTGATATATTAGAAAAGGTTATAGGCTATAAAATGTCATCGTACGACTTTAATTAGCCGAGATATTAATTAAAAACTACTTTTCCCCTACATTTTACACTTACTTTGTTGGGTTTTCCCTTAAAGGGATTTGGCTACGCGCCAATTTATACTTTCACAAATATCTATGGAACGGCGGTTAGTTGAATTTCGAGACACATATTCGCTGATTCCAAAAATTCGTCGGAATCCATCGATACCATTCTCATCTTCGTACGACTTTAATCAGCTGAGATATTAATTAAAAACTCTGAAAACGCTAATTTTCAGCGCTAATTTCGCGACTCAATAGCGACATTAGGGATTTTTTCTTGAGTCTTCCCGTGTAGGTCCATATTCTATAAATTCCATCAGCGCAGTCATCAGATGTTAACGCAAACGGATATATTCGAAAAGAAATGAAAATTAAACATCAGAAATGATTAGTATTAACTAAATATGAAATTAAGTATAATTTCGTTTACGGAACAAAAATAACAAAAAAGCGAGTTTGAATTTGGTAAATTCTTTGCCTGAACGTTTACAAGCCATATTATTAATGTAAAAATAATTGTACTAAGTATTAAAAATTGTTCTTTT